GAGAAAGAAAGGTGGATAAGTGGATGGATGGATAGGTACGTACCTGAGTTTTTAGATGGACAGGTGGATCGGAGAGTGGGTGGCTGGACGAATGGATGTAAACGTAAATGTTTACTTAAAATGTTACGTAAAAGTAAAGGTTTACTTAACTCTTGAATATTTCCAGCTTGACCTCCTAATGGCGCCCTATTTTGATAAAATTGTTTACAATCTGCATTTTTTTAGTTTTCAACCTCAGTGGCGAATAGGTAATTTCAGTAGTTTCCCTGAAAAAAACTTGGCATATAAAATTAAATATTTTTCATCTGAGTCTTTTTAATTTAAATTATGATTTTAATTATAAATAATCAGAGATGTAAAATCTGTAGACATTTTAAAGCCATGGTGTTTTTTGTGAAAAGTTTATTCTTGTTTTTTTGTAGGAGGGGCAATCAGGTAGAAATTGGAATTTTAAGAAAAATGAAAATATTTTTTATACTTGGTTAGTATATTCCTAACATACTTTATTTCCTACAAAATAAATATTTCCCACAAGCCAAGCACCCGACAAACCATAATAATGCTTTGGACCTTTCTGATGGGCCCCCAGTTGTTTAACATTGCTTCTGTGTCCCCTGTATCTCCTGTCAAGTGATAGTGGGATCTGAGGACTTTATTAGACTTGATGAAATTTTTTAAAAAATAAGCTCATCTGTACTTCAAAAGCGGTTTTATCCCTTCCTGTCATTTCAGTGAGCCTTCAATTTAGTGACTCTTGCCTGAAAGGGAACTTGAAAGAAGTAGGGAAGTACCACTGTTGTCCCCCTTTTGCCACAACGCTGGCATCTTACAGCCTGGCTGGAGACGTTAAGAAGTCATCCACCTCCTAGAATCTATAGCTGTAAGGAACCATCTCCATCTCAGTTACATGACTGTTCTTAGTAATGTAACTGTATCAGTTCAGAAAACTAAGTTTTAGGTACTTACTAGTTTTTTCCCTGACTGGTAACGGAAAGCTCCAGTCAGTTAACTACATTTATTGAACACTTAATTGGGGACATGCCAAATAGAAATTAAATTAATTTACTCCCACAGTTAGAAGGCACATTCAACATTATCATCCCTTGTTCTTTCTGTTTTACAGAAGAGGAATATCTAAAGCAAAAGTTTACAGAACATTATTCCCCCAGCGAACCACATCTGTAAATGTAACAACTTGGGACAAGTCCGTGTAAAATATATTTGGAATCCACTCTTCTGGTTTTGTTTGGTTAAGATCATCCTATAGTAACCAATAACCCTGGATCTCTCTTGTTTCTAGGAAGTTCGTTTGCCTAAATGACAACATTGACCATAATCATAAAGATGCCCAGACAGTGAAGGCTGTTCTCAGGGACTTCTATGAATCCATGTTCCCCATACCATCCCAGTTTGAGCTGCCAAGGGAATATCGAAACCGTTTCCTTCATATGCATGAGCTGCAGGAATGGTAAGTTTTCATGTTTCTTACACGTGTGTGTGTGTTTTCAATTTGCTCTAATTCCTTTGTAAAAATACACCTGTTTTTATTGAGATCCCTGCCATCAGAGTGGCTGCCCTGTTTCTTGGGTACCTGCTGTACAGCAGACACTGCGCTGGGCAGAATATTTACTCTTTATAATGAAAGGTACTACTGTCATTGCCACGTCACAGATGAGAACAGAGCAGCAGCAGCTGAGTGATTTGCTCAAGGTGGAGTAGCCCATAAGTGGCAAATACGGCCTGATTCCCAACCCTCTGCACATTCATTCCACTGTATTCCAAAGCTGCTTTATGATGTTTCCTTCTTTTATTTTACTACCGTTTACTCCCAACACTTAATTATAAAGATAATTTTATCTTCTTGCTTAGGGAAATTTGTGACCCCTTGCCTATTCACCATGTAAGGTGCTAGGAATACAGGCAAACCTCGGAGATATTTCAGGTTCAGCTCCAGACTACCACATATCCCAGTGCATGTAAAAGTTATGTTTATATATTATAGTATATTAAGTGTGAAAAAGCATTATATATCTAAAAAACATGTACATACCTTAATTTTAAAATGTTGCTAAAAACTGCTAACCATCATCTGAGCCTTCAGCAAGCTGTAGTAGTAACATCAAAGATCATTGATCATAGATCACCATAAC